AGCTTAAAATATTTTTTGCTAACTAGTTTTCAGTCTTGCACTTTAGTATTGTATCAAATGTTTATTTTATGAGCATATTTGGATGTTTTGTTTTTGGTAAATTATATATCTGGACAGGTTTTAATAATTGGTAAAATGATTTGGCTACAGCTTTAGCAACGAATAATTCTAATAATGGTTGTATAAAGTTACTTTTGGCGATGAAATTAGAAATGAAATTTGTGACGGATTTTATGTATTTCGTGATAGAATATTGCAATGGACTTAGCTATAGATTAACGACGGAATATTTGCAACGTACGTAGCTACGGATTTGGCAGCAACACATTTTCGACGCACTTAGCAACATAATTAGCTACGGATATTAGAAACGAAAAAAATCAACATTAGTGATGGATGTGTTCGTTGCTAGTATAGCGACAGATTTTGGCGACGAACGATATTCATTTCTACCATAGCAACGATAATTAGCGAGAACTTTAGCCACATCCATTAGCAACATACACGTTTCGTATTAGCGACAGAATAGTCTGTGACAAACGTAGCGACGGAGTGTAGCGACGATCATTATCTGTTGCCACGTGTAGCGACGGCATTTCATCAAGTCGCAGCTAAAATTTAGCGACGCGGCTTTTTTCTACGGAATTGGCAACGCATGACATCTGTCGCTAATCACGAGTTAGCGACGGATTCACATTGTTTAGCGATGGATGGTGCCGTAGCTAATAGGCGATTTTCTAGTAGTGGTTTTACTTTGGTCCATGACTGCATCTCCTTTTGGTTCGATTTCATTAATCTGGTGTCTGCTCCGTTTTTATTACGTTTTCTCATGAGCCAAATTCTATTTGTATCTTCAACAAGCTTTATGGTGTTCACTGTTGTGCGATATTTCTTTATCATTTTCATGTTCATCCTATTGGAAGGTTTACCTACATTTCTCAATACAATTTTACTCTTTTGTAACTTTGCATCTTTTTTTACATCATAAATTAATATCGTTATATTTTAGTGCAACAATCATAGAACATACAAATTGCAAGTGACTATGTACTAAACATGAACATTATTGCATTTTTCTCTATATTATCAATATTACTGCATTTTCACTGATCCATTGTTTCCTTTGAAATTTGTTCATAATGTTTGTGTTGCTTATCTAACACATATTATTTGCTATGCAATATAATACGTGTTGATACTTACAAATCATTATTGTAATAGATGATTTGCAATAATACTCTTATTTCAATTTCTTGGTTGTTTTTTCCACTTAATTTTCTGAATTTATTGCAATTTTTATCATTATGTATTTAAATAAATTATTCTCTTCTTTTTTAGAATGTTACCCGTGCAACGCACGGGTTCTGTTACTAGTTATTATAAAGCTAAATTGCGGCCAGCTCTGAGTTACAGTCAAATTACGAAACCTCCCCTCCTCTTTGGGTAATTACAACCATCACCTTAACTACGTATTATCTTACGAAAAGAATCCTCCAGAGGTAAATTTAGGGATGTTAAATTGGTAAAAAACGAATCGAAATTTCGGTACTCCAACATTTCATACTGTTCCCCGAACTAAATATACGATTTTGTTCGATAAATAATCGAATTACATAAATTTTATGTAAAAATATTTAAAAGTATGGGTAGCTGTAATTATCCAAACAAGAGGCGTTTTTTTTCGTAATTTGGCCATAGCTCAGGGGTGGCCGTAATTTGTCCTTATTATAATCTTTATTTTTCAAAAAAAAAAAAAAAAAAAAACCGTTACAGACCCGGCCCCGTCCCCGCCACCAACCGGGTCAGTTTCGTATCCCCTCTTCCTCAGATCGGACCCGGCCCCACCTGCGGCCATGCGTAGTGACATGTTTAAGTGGAATTTATCATTTTTTTTATTTCTTACTTTCAATCAAATTAAGAAATTGAAATTCTCCAATATGTTAGTATATCGACAATATAATAATTCCGTATTTAACATTATCATGATTAATCCCTTTATTTATTTTTTTCTTTCCCAAGTTCTTAAGATGATTTATATTATATATATTATATTGCTAATAATTTTCGATTAGGAGAATAAGCCGCCGTATGATCGGATGAATGATTTTACGCATAATTATATTTACATTGAATGATACACGCGTACGCCGATATACACATTGTGTGCAAAATGGGTAATTATTAATACACATATATGGAACAAGCGTATCGAACAAGCCCCTCTTGCCGCCGATAATAATCATCTCAAGACATATTTTGTGATTTAATCGACACCAGCATCTTTTTTTTCCGTTTATAATATCAAATTTCTTACCGCAACTCATGTTACAAATATTAACAATGTCTTCCATATCTTACAAATGAAAATGAATTATATTGTCGAAATAAAGCAGCAAGCCGATGAGCTATTTCTATTTTTAATAATTTAATTTTCAATTTCTATGTTTTTTAATAATAATTTCAATTTATAATTATCAAATGCATTTTTCAATATAGTGATAACAATTTGCAATGTTAGTGCAAAATTAGTGCAATGGGTTCACAAGGTGGGAGCATCCCTAGTGCATCCCCAGTGCAGAAGGTGCTCACACAGTGCGCAAATTACCACACAAACACCCCTCAACTTCAGTTTAATTACATATAGACAGACCCTCATTAAATTTTATTTGGTACCAAATATTTGCGTTTTTTAGCAATTCGATACAACACTGGGGTATTAATTCGATACAACACTGGGGTATTAAATTCAATAAACTCACAAAAAAGTGTTACATACCTTAGTAAAAGTGTTGGGAAAAACATTCCTCAATGCATTGAGACTCGTATCCCATCCCGTCTGAGTCAAATATACACTCGTGTCCTCATGAAAACCGATCTTCTTCAAAAACTCCCCGATTTTTTCACTGTTGTAGCACCACCTTCTATTACGACCACCACTCTCTAATAATTTGCAGCTCGTTTCGGTCAACATTTCGACATGTAAGTCAACAGAAACAAAACGCCCGTTCGTTTTCTTGCTCATGCTCCGCAATGTCCCGACCATAGAATCGATTAATTCTTGCAACTCCTTTTGCGGTTTGAGGCTTTCGTACATCGCAAGGCACTGATAATCGGATTCATGGTTGATTATTAAAAATACCTTTTGTCTCCTAATTTTGTTCCTCTGATATCAGGAATTGCAAGGAACAACTATACTAACACCCCTCAGATTCAAGTTAATTACAGATAGGCCCTCATCAGTATTTCCAAACTGTAATTATTTGATCGAACGATAAACAAACATTTGCTGTGCAATACTAACAACAAGCAAACAGTTAATACACAGTCCCATAATTTCCAGTTTTTTTTTTTTTTGGAAATGTGGAAAATATAACTATGGGTTCATTGCATTCAACACCCTGTATTGTCTATATTTGCTAAAAAACTCCTCATGGTATTTTGTCTGGAAAACTCCCTTTATGGTTCAATTTATTTTAGCAAATTACACCTAAAAAACTCACTAATCAGAGGGTTGTGTGCTAAAATAATGTGTTATAAGGGATTCTTTTGCGAATGTTAATATCATGGGGAGGTTTTTGCAATAAACTCAATAATCATAAAAATGTGTAACATACCTTAGTAAAAGTGTTGGGAATCCTTAAAAACTGCACAATTTCTGCACTATTGTAGCACCACCTTTTATTATAGCCACTACTCTCGAATAATTTTGCACTTCATAATTTTGCACTTCATAAACGAACTGCATAAAATATGTCATAAATTGTGTGCTTGTCAGAAACTGAGATATATGCATGCCTGGTTTAGAATTCTTGAGCATATCGTATTGGACTCTGTCAACATAAACGAACGCATAAAACATGTCGTAAATTGTGTGTCTGTCTGGAACTGAGTGTAGCAACAAATTCTTATCTGCGAATTTAACAAACAAGAAAATACTTGCACAAAGATAATTTATTGAATTAAAATAAAATATTGCGGGTTACAAACTCTAATTTAATCCTCTGATTATTCTCTCAAGAAAAATATATGATTGACTTTGAATTTCGGAGACGAGTCGTTGACTTGATCTTCTCCGGAGTTGATTTGGATTTGAATAACGTCTTCCGAGGGTCTTGCGACTTGAATCTCGGATCGAACGCTGAACTTTGACGGATTTTGACTTGAAGATCTTGGAGTTCTTGATGGATTTGGCCCTTCAATCTTCCTTCGATCTTGATTTGATGTTAATAACGTTAATTCGAGGGTTTAGCACCGTAATCTCGAATTAAACGCTTTAACGCCTTGATTTGATGAAGAACACCTTCGATTTGATGAACTCCTTCGATTTGATGAAGGATGAAGAACACCTTCGATTTGATGAACTCCTTCGATTTGATGAAGAACGCCTTGAATTTGATGAAGAACGACTTGAATATTGTAGAGAGAATTTTCTCCTACGGTTTTTATTCTTCTTCAGTTGTGCCTTGAATTGTGTAGGGAGGGTCCCTATTTATAGTGGTAGAATAAGAGTCCTACTTAAAGTCTACTTGATGACGTGGCGCGATTTGATTGGCTCTCTTTAAATTGATATTTATCTCTTATAACTTGGAAGAGAAGAAACAATCATATTGGCCAATAATTAATTGATAATTATCTCCATGACTTATTTTGCAAGATAAATTATAATTTAATTTAGACACAATTTAATTGGCTAATTTAATTAACCAATTAATTAATTTTATGCGTCTACAAATGCCCCCTCGAGACTTGTTCACGGACAATGCATCTTGGAGTGGATGAGTCTCGATAATTGCTCAACTTCGATTGCAGCTTGATCTAGC